CCCACACACCCACACACCCACACCCCCACACCCACACCCCCACACCCACACACACACACACCTACACACCCACACACCCACACACCCACACACCCACACACCCACACACACACACACACACCCACGCACCCACACACTCGCGCACCCGCGCACCCGCGCACCCTCGCACCCGCACCCACGTGCCCGCGCACCTGCGCGCCCGCGCACGCGCGCGCCCACGCACACGCACACGCATACGCACACGCACGCGCACACGCACACGCACGCGCACACGCACACGCACACGCACACGCACGCGGACACGCACACGCACGCGCACACGCACGCGCACGCGCACGCGCACCCGCACACGCACACATCCCCACCCCCACCCCACCCCCACCCTCAGCCTTACTTGTTATGATCAAACACCCCCGCATCCCCACCTAGCCGGCCGATAGCAACCCTGCCGTCCTAATTGTCAAAAATCAATACAGACTCAATTTTTTTCTCGCCAACATGGCGTCGAGTTGCGAAAAGTATAAGAGGAATGGGACGGAATGGACATCGCTCGGGTGACCCGAAGCGGGTGGTCGCGTCCTAGCCATCAGAATACAATGCAATGTCAACGTTTTCCTTGTCAACATGGACTACGCTGCGAAAAGTGCAGCAGGAATTGGACGCGGCGCGCATCGCGCGCGGACGCCTGGCCAATCCTACGCGGGACCCCCGTCCTACCTGTCAAAAAACACCGCGCCGTCGACATTTTTTCTTTGCCAACATGTACTTCCTCCTCGTCGGCGCTGCGAATCGCGTTGCGGGAATGGGACGCGGCGCGCATCGCGCGGGGGCGCCTGCTCGTCAACATGGACTTTCTTGTCGTCGACGCTGCGGCCCGTCGGATTGAGGAGCTGGGCGGGCGGCAAGTCATAATGCCTCAAGCAAGTGTATTTCGAACAAGTGCCTCAGGAGACCCCCAAGAGGTAGAAAAAGGCGCCCAGGAGGTCCTGGGGGTGCAACACACGTATTGATTTTCATTTGGTGTTTGAACGATTGTAAGATTAGGAACTACTTGTGTTGACAATGTTCCAACCCGGAAGATATATCCAAGAGTCCCTAAGGCGTATACCAGAAAGTTCCCAGGACGCCCCGCGAACTCCCAAGAGGCATTCTCTTCTTCCTCCTCAGTTTCTCCCTCCCTCCTTCTGTCCCTCCTCTCCTCCTCCTCCTCCTCCTCCTTCTCCTCCTCCTCCTCCTCCTCCCCCTTCTCCATGCGCGGCAGGAACGAAACGATTGGCGGTGCAACACGCGTGGCTGGAATGAGACGCGGCGCAATTCGCGCGCTAGACATGTTGTCGCCGACGATGCAGCACGAGAGGCCGGAGCGGGGCGCGGCGTACATCGTCGGGGGCCCTGAGACGGGGGTCAATGCAGACGGGGGTCAGCCAGGGCGCCAGATCCTGCAGGATCCTGCGAAGACCCCCTCTGGCTGACCCGGGTTAGGGAGCCGCTCGTGGCCGCGAGGCTGCCGCGCATATCGGCTGACCCGGGTTTGCGAAGACCTGCGTTGCAGTTCTTTTTTCCTGCATTGCAGTTTTTGGTTTCCTGCTGACCCGGGTCTGGGTTGACCCGGGTCAGAAGATCCCCGACATCGCGCGCGGCCTTGTTTCTCGTCGTCGTTGCTCGATACGCGGCAGGAGCCGGACGCAGCTCATGTCGCGCGCGGAACGTCTAGCCGCCCACGATATAAGATGAGCGACGGGCGTCGGACGC